CAACAGTACAAAAAAAATATTACAAATGTAAAAATTTAAATAAAGAAGTAGTAAAAAAATAAAATAAAAAATCCTGGATGCAGGGCACTGGGTGAGATCACACGCCTGTTGGGGGGGGACCTTATTTTTCTTGCCATGTGCGCAAATACGGCTATGCTCCCGCGGTGCTTGTGCGGCTGCAGGTGTCAGACGTTGCAGACGGAAAGGGATAGGACACCTCTCCCCGTGTGCAACGTCAGCCACACGAGCACCGCGGGAGGATAGGACGCCGGCGCCTCTAGAACGCCCCGGAATGCAAGCCGGCCAACTCCCTGCGTTCAGGGGCGGGAGGGGGCGTGGGGTTGCACCGCAGCCTTGTCCCCCGCCCACAGTTCGATCACCCAGAATGAAGGCACATTAGTGCCTGCATTCCGGTCCAGTGTGAGCTGCAAAAATAGTGCTTGCATTTTTGCGGATCGCACTGGACCAGAACGCAGGCACTAATGTGCCTAGGTTGCGAGTGCAGGCGATTGCACTGCGGGCGAGGGGCCTGGCTGCAGTGCCATTGAATTAAATGCACCGCCACGCCCCCTCCCGCAGGTGTTTTTTCGTTGGTAGATCTCATTGAGCTTGTCATTTGAAAAGTAGATCTCCAGAGGAAAAACTGTGGGCGCCCCTGCATTAGATTATAACCTAATTTGCAAAAAAACAGGTGATCAAGATCTGATGTCTGTGGGTACCTCAACTTTGCTATGAAAACTCTCCACTTCCTAGCAAGCAGTAGATATATGCAAAAAGTACAAAAAAACACTTTAACAGCGGTTTAAAACCCGTGTCTTCCCTGCGCGCTCCCGTCCGAAAATGTGAAACTGCACGGGTGGCCGCAAAGCATCTTGGGGTGGGCGAATGCGCAGTTCACATTTTCGGCAAGGTCACGAGGAAAGACACAAGGGAAGTCTATGGACGCGTGCACCTGCATGCAGACACCGTGGGAGAGTACGTGCCAGCAAACTCAGAGGAGTCACCGCTGGTTCGGAGACCCGCAGCGCCGGACAGAAGGCTGAAAACTACAGGAAAGAAGATGATCGGACTAAAAGACATAATTTAAGGTAAGTGCTTCAATTAACGTTGGGTTGAGGGGGGAAAACAAAATTTGCCTTTAATGTCACTTTAAGTCTGATAAATTTAAAAAAGGAGCGGTGTTTTTATTTAAAGAAGAATCTAATAAAAAAAAAATGTGTTGCAGTTGGTATTTTCTACTTTTTTTTTTTTAAACTTGACAGAAGGAAAAAAATGACTTCTCTACTGGTTCTTAGATCAAGAGGTAATGGGTCAGGTAAGTTGCATGTAAGCCTATGCTCCATGCTGCCAACCAAACCTGATGCCCTTTAGCAGCACAGATTAAAAAAGGATTGCCTTTTTGTAGACCATTCCAAAAGGCAGGTAGAATGCAGATGTAGATATCTGAATGGCTGAGAATTGCACACTTATTGGCCTTGCAACCATACAAACAAGAGTGGACAGCAACAAATCTGCTTTTAAACACATTTAGAGCTGCAGCTAACGATTATTTTCAAAATCGATTAGTTAGCCGATTATTAGGTTCGATTAATCGGTTAA